TTTGTTGTTGTTGTTGTTGTTGTTGTTGTTGTTGTTGTTGTTGTTGTTGTTGTTTAATTTTCCAATTTTTTATTATTTTTTTAAAAACTGTATGGCTCCATTTTTTATTATTATTTTTTTCTTTCGAGAGTTATATCGCTTTCCGTACATGCTATGCTCACCTATTTGTTTGGTTGGTGAACAGCATGGATCGCTCCTCGCTCCACTACACAACACTGTAAGCATGCATTTGGACTCTCGAGGAACCAGGTGCATTCGAACGATTCCAATGTTATGAACGTATCCTGTCAAGAAAGCGTCCAAATGCATGTACAGTATTGTGTAGTGGAGCGAGGCCCATCTTCATCCCAGGCATGTTTGGAGAAGCCCGAATCTGTGGCTGTCAGAGTGCACCTTTTACCATCCACCTACGCCTCCAAGGTCCTCACCGCACTGCTCACCACATGTCCAAAATGCAGCATATGTCATCTGCATGGGAAGATACACCCAATACAACGTCTTTCTCTTTACACTTTCATCCAATACTTCCATACTTCCATACTTCCAATGTTTCCAATGTTTCCAATGTATTCAATTGGGATGCTGGACCCGCTTTCCAGCAGGTGTGGCTCCCCACCAATAGACTGGAGCAACCAGAACTCTTACAAGGGGAGGCTGTTCATATAACCTCTCCCCCCCCCCCCCCCCCCCCCCCCCCCCCCCCCCCCCCCCGGGCCCGCTCTAGTAATGTGGTTCTGGTCGCTTTCACATTTGCTGTGCAATGTTGCGAGGCCCTGAGCTTCCTACTTGGGGCCAGATCACACTGGCAAAGAGGATTGGAATAAGCCTCTGAATCTGGATGTGTTTGTGGAGAGGTGCAAACAATTGTAATTGAACTGCTTTTCTGCATCTCTGTGTGGAACACGTCCAGATTCAGCCACTTATTCCAATCCTCTTTGCCAGTGGGATCTGGCCCTTAGTGTATTGGGTGGGGCTTGCCTACCCAATGGTAGGGCAATGGTCCTGAATGCTGGTCACACTGAGGTAGGATAATGGGATAGGGGGTGCCCTAGGAGTATTGACGTGAGGATGGGATGGGAGGTGGTCTCATATTCCTGGACACCCGTGGCTCACAGCTCCAAGTGATCACTGTGCACTCAGTCACTGCCCTCTACAACACCCTGGACTTTTGAAAAAACCACCCCTGCTCCTATCCAATGTACATATAGCTGGGTTACCCTCGTCGAGTCAACACCGGTGTCCATCGACACACCCAGCTGCTCTAGAACAGGGTTTGGCACCGCGGCCCGGAACAGGGTGAAGAGGCTCTTCTTTCATGATCTGCAACTCTGACAAATTCCAACCTTTTTGTATAAGGGACGCTGGATCGGTTTTCTGGCAGGTGCCGCTCCCCACCAATAGATGGAGCCTCCCCCCGGGCCGGCGGAACTAGAAGTGTCTGCCCGTATGAGCACCTCTAGCTCCCACACGGGCTGTTAAAAAAAAAAACGAAGGCATTCAAGCAAGGGTTTGGCACGTTGGTCACGGCCCCAAGTTTGACACGCAGTTGAGTCTCTTCGAAGTTTGAGTTGGCACTTCAGTTGCCCTTGGGAGTTTCAGCTAGGTAGCAGTCCAACCGCACCCGTTTTTTTTTTTTTCTC